AGACCAGAGCACATGGCTGCAGCGAAGAGGGTATTGCGCTACCTGTGCAGTACGTCGGGCATGGGGCTTGTGCTTGGAGGGCGGAGTCCAGTGGTCCTTACCGGCCACGCGGACGCTTCTTGGGCTGACGACCAGGCTACGCAGCGGTCGTCACAGGGTTACACCTTCAGCCTTGGTTCCGGCTCTGTCTCGTGGCGGTCTACTCGCTCGTCTTCAGTTCTCGGCTCCAGTTGTGAGGCTGAGATCTACGCCGGGGCCATGGCTGCACAGGAGCTTCGCTGGCTCACCTACCTGCTGACTGACCTTGGAGAGCCGCCTCGTTCTCCTCCAGTGCTGTACGTAGACAACAAGGCCATGCTGGCCTTGTGTCGAGAGCAGCGCTTGGAGCACAGAACGAAGCACATTGCTCTCCGCTACTTCCTTGCTCGTGAGCTGCAGCAGCGTGGTCAGTTGCGACTTGCGTACGTGGCCTCTGAGGCCAACACTGCTGATGTGTTCACCAAGGCACTCGCGCCTTGTGATCATCAGCGCTTTTGCACCCAGCTGGGTCTTGTGTCTGTCTTGCCTCACTTGCTCTCCTCTTGACTTTACTTGTACTGTGACATATATATATACCTGCTCTTGCTTGTCTAGTTTTATATATATGTCTGTACTCCTGCATGTGAACTGGCCTCTGGCCCTGCTCTTGTGCTCGGACTGTGTGGTGACTTTGTGATCCACCCTGAGCTTGCTTTGCTTTGCTTGACTGGTCTTGTGACCCCTTGTTCTCCCCCACTTTGCCTATGGGGGTGTGTCAAACATTATATATGTTATGCTTGTGTAGGCTACAGTGGGTTAGCCTATAGGGGGTACACAATTCTAGGGTTTCCTACTTGTACTCATTTCACTGCTAGTTCATTCATTCCCTGTTCGCTTATTCTGACAATGAGCCCGTGGTGCAGTTGAGGCCAAATCATCCCACACACATGATGAACAAGGCGACCTGTGTGGATGATCAGATCATGCAATTCCTTCAAGTACTCTGACTTGACTCCATGCCACGGCTTGACAAGCAGAGGGAAACCTTTTTTAGTTTGTGAGTGGATTTTAGGGTAGACAGCCCTGAGAGTTGTGTATCAGAGAGGTGTGCAGGGATGCGCAGGATGGGCGCAATTGTGTTGACCAAGGGGTCAGCGGCGGATTCTACTTGTTTAGCTAGAGCAGCTAATGATGCTGCTGTTGGAGATGCTGCCTTCGGATAATGATGGTCCGTTGAGAGGAGTAAATTCGTTGGAAATGATAGTGTAGGTTTTTTTTACCAGCTCACCGGCAAAGTTTGTTTAGTTACTATTGGGACACCTATAAACGGAAAGGTTTGTTATCTGGGCCCTGACAGTTCGAATCGAACAGAGACGGACTAGTTGTCATCGATACCGTCATCGCCCGGATATAAGACATATATGTCTCATCTCATACACTAAAAAAAATGCTTGGGTTATCTTGTATTTGAGGAGGTTTTGGGTGTCTTATAAGTCTTATAAATGGAAACCTTTTTAAATTACTTCAAAATATTTTCACGCATCTTGAAAAGAGTTTCTCATTAAGAGTGTCGATGTTGCGAAGTTGCCACTTCGGCAACCATTGTTCGGGACGCCTCGTCATCCTGAATACTTGCAGAGTCAAATTTGGTAGTATGTCACTCAGCACGTGGCAGAATTCGCGTGTCGCAAGGGTAAAAATGTACGCGGTATTTCAATTTTCACTATAATACATTGCAGTTTCGATTATAAGACACATAAGTCTTATCTCGTACACACAAATAGGTGTTGTATAAAAAGGCTAGCCTGTTTATAAGAGACAACTGTATAATAGACAACCCCTGTCTACTATTCAACACTGTCTTATATCTGGGCGATGACGGTAAATCTCTAACGAGCCTAGCCAGGTGGGAAGACGAGAGAGCGGGCATGGCTGTCGAGCAAGCTCTGTCAAGACTTAGGCAAGGTAATTGATGAGTATTGAGAGTTTGGTACAAACAATATAACCTAAGGGGTTGTACCGCACAGTGAGTACACCACTAGAAGCCTACCCAAACTACAACATATAACTATATGTTTGACACACCCCCATAGGCAAAGTGGGGGAGAACAGAGGGTCACAAGACCAGTTGGGAAGTGCAAAGCAAGCTCAGGGTGGATCACAACGTCACCACGCAGTCTTGAGAAACTTAGAACGAGAATGGATTGACTAAGGAATGAAAGTGACACAAATATGAAACCCTAGAATTGTGTAACCTTTCTATCTAACCCGCTACAGCCTACACGGGCTAGATCATATAAGTTTGACACACCCCCATAGGCAAAGTGGGGGAGAACAAGGGGTCACAAGACCAGTCAAACAAAGCAAGGGAAAGCAACCTCAGGGTGGATCACAACGTCACCACACATTCTGAGCACAAGTTCAAGGCCACAAGGCCAGTTCACATGCATGAGTACACACATATATATAACGCTAAACAAGCAAGAGCAGGTATATATATATGTAACAGTACAAGCAAGGTCAAGAAGTGAGCAAGTGAGGCAAGACAGGTACAAGACCTAACAGAGTACAGAAGCGCTGATGGTCACAAGGCGCAAGTGCCTTGGTGAAGATATCAGCAGTGTTGGCCTCAGAGGCCACGTAAGCAAGGCGCAGCTGACCTCGCTGCTGCAGCTCACGAGCAAGGAAGTAGCGAAGAGCGATGTGCTTCGTTCTGTGCTCCAGTCTGTGCTCCCGACACAAGGCCAGCATAGCTTTGTTGTTTACGTACAGAACTGGAGGAGAACGAGCCGGCTCTCCTAGGTCAATCAGCAGGTAAGTGAGCCAGCGTAGCTCCTGTGCAGCCATGGCCCCTGCGTAGATCTCAGCCTCACAACTGGAGCCGAGAACAGAAGACGAGCGGGTAGACCGCCACGAAACAGAGCCGGAACCAAGGCTGAAGGTGTAACCCTGTGACGACCGTTGCGTAGCCTGGTCGTCAGCCCAAGAAGCGTCTGCGTGACCAGTGAGGACCACTGGACTCTGCCCTCCAAGCACAAGCCCCATGCCCGACGTACTGCACAAGTAGTGCAACACCCTCTTCGCTGCAGCCATGTGCTCTGGTCTGTGTCTCCCAGGAGCAATATAGCGTGCCAGAATGCTAAGAGGGTATGCAAGGTGAGGTCGAGTGCAGGTCATCATGTACATGAGGCAGCCAACAAGCTCTGGGTACGGGCCACTCGACTCTACAGACTCATCCGAAGGCAGAGCTGAGAGCGAGTGGCGAGTAGACAGAGGAGTGGCCTGAGGCGAGGAGTACGTGAAGCCGAAGCGGTGAAGGACCTGCTGCACCATGTGTGACTGAGTCAGGGTAATGGTGCGCTGTGCTCTGTCCCGGGTGATCTGCAAGCCAAGGTAGCTGCGCAGTTCACCCAGGTCTGTGCACGTGTGTCTCTTCTGCAGCTCGGACTTCACGTGGGCGAGTCCAGCAGTGTCAGCTGTGGCAAAGACCAAGTCGTCGACGTACACGAGGATGTAGAACGGCGGCAAAGAAGTGTCGGTGCGTAGAAACAGCGATGGGTCGGCAGTAGAGGGAGCAAACCCAAGAGCCGCAAGTGTAGTCCTTAGTGTGTCGTGCCGCTCACAAGGTGCCTGGCGGAGACCGTAGACTGGCCGCCAGAGGCTCCACTGGGTACCAGGAGGAAAAGACCCAGTGAAGCCAGGTGGGCGGCGCAGCCAGATCTCCTCGTGCAGGCTGCCCTGCAAGAAAGCAGTGCTGAAGTCAAGAGAGTGAAGCTCCTAGTCACGCTGAGCGGCTATGTGCAGCAGTACCCGAAGAGTGGTCATCTTCGAGGTGGGAGAGAAGGTCTGAAAGTAGTCAACTCCCTGCCGCTGACTGAAGCCACGAGCCACGTAGCGCGCCTTGAAGACAGGCGGAGAACCCAACGGCCGCTTCACCCTGAAAATCCACATGCCACTGACGATGTTCGCCCCAGGAGGGGGAACTGCGTCAACGTAGGTGCCTGTGGACTTCCAGGAAGCGATCTCTGCATCCATGGCTGCCTGCCACTGAGAGGAGTAGGGACCCTCTACGGCCTCCGCGTAAGAGCGCGGAGTCGGGATGTCTGGTGCATCCGGGTCTCCCTCAGGGGCAATTAGCATGGACATGAGATGAGGTGAAGCAGCAGCCAAACACTGGAACTCCTCCTGCCTGTCCTCAAGGACGTCCGTGCTAAGGGCACACTCACCCTCCACGGACGGAGGACAGACAGACTCAGACTCAGCGACAAGACTAGCAGCGTAGTCTAGGCGACAGCGAGCAGCGAAGTCGACAAGCTCAGAAACTAAGGCAGACGCAGCAACGGACTCAAAGGGTCAGTGACGACATTAGCAAGGAGACGCGTGACAGTAGGACTGGCAGCACGAAGGGAGTCTGACTCCGGGTCAGCAAGAACAGGAAGAGAGGACTCAGGAGGAGAAGGCAAAGGGGCACGCAGCGGAGCAGTGGAGGGACGCAGAGACATCCGGTGCGTTCCGGGGACAGGGGGAGGACGCTCACGCGAACCACGACTACTAGTGCGAGCAGCACGGACAGGCGACGCAGGACGAGACGCAGGCTCACGACGCTCAGCAAGACCTCCAGTAGGACTAGTGTAGGGATAAGGAGCAGGCAGAGGAGAGGTAGGCTCTAACTGTGACTCGGACTGGACAGGCGGTGGACATTCTAAGAGAGGAGCCGGACTAGCAGAGGGCGGAAGACCAAGAACCAGCTCAAGGAGCGGAACGAAGTACGGCCGCGGCCGCTGAGCACCACCAGCACTAGAAGGGACAGCACCAGCACCCCGAACGACAGCACCAGCGCTAGCATCACCCCTGCTCCAGCAGCGCCAACTCCAGTACCCTCAGAGGCACCAGCACCAGAGGCACCCTCAGCGCCAACACCCCCAGCAGCTCCAGCTCCAGCTGGACCACCAGAAGACGCAGCGGGTCCAACTCTAGCACCCTCAGTAGCGCCGACGCCCGCAGCACCACCAGCTCCAGTACGAGAAGCACCCGCAGGCCCCTCCATCCTGGAGGTCAGCACCACTCACCAAGTTTGTAGAGAACGAGGGGAGGTAAAGACCCGATAGGGTGCCAGAAGGGGCCGCCGGACACAGTAGAACAGTGGAGAAGTGGGCAAGGACAGGACCCCCAGAGGGGTCTGCCAGGGAGACTGCCACTGGCCGACTAAGCGGCGTAAGCGTGGTGCGGTCTTGAAAGAAGGAGCGGGAAGCACCCGAGTCAAGGGTGAAGGTGTGGGTGGCCGGAGCCGACGCGGTACCTGAGAGCGCAGACTCACCAGCACCTGGGGCAGCAGGCTCACTGGCACCTAGAGCAGCAGCCTCACCAGCACCTAGAGCAGCAGCCTCAATGCCTGGGTCAGGCGGAAAACACCGGTAACAGTCACCCTCATCACTAATAGTCACAGCAAACATTGCAGCAAGAATAGCATCATAATCAAGATCAAAGATGCAACACCCGCCCTAAACAGCTCGCCCCAGGGAGGGATCTCAGTAGCGTCGGGGAACTGATAACGCCAAGCGTCCGTCAGGCGGCCGAAGCAGCGATGGGTGGAGTGCAGACCCCCACACTGCTCACCCGTGCGGTCGCCTGTACGTAGAACGTAGGTACAGGGACCAGCACCCCCACCCCGCTGACGAGCAGTGTACCACTCACAAAGGTGCTGGGGGGAAGGGGTCTCACGAGTGCGCTGCTGCTGCTGCTGCTGGCGCTGACCACCACCGGAGCCGACCCTCTGCGAAGAGCCGCCCCGACCAGCTCCACCTCCGCCGCCGCTACCTCCACCACCGCCTCCACCTCCACCACCTCCGCTCGCACCGCCACCACCGCTGCCTCCTCCGCCTCCACTGCCGCCACGAGTGCCCCCACTCCCGCCACCACTCCCACCGCCACCCCCACCCCCTCCGCCACCTCCACTGCCCCCGCCAGCTCCTCCAGCGCCCTTGCCCCCCTTGCCCCTGAGCGGCGTCTCCCGCTAGGGGTAGATGCCGCGCCGACCGACTCAAGACCAACGAGGTCGGCCGCAGCAGCAGAGGCAACAGAGGGCAAGATGGGGGAGGGGGAGCACCCCTCAAAGACAGGGGTACGAGGGTCACCACGAGAGGCTCCTACAGCGACTATACTCTTTTCTGCTGCTAGGAGGTGCTCCTCGAGGAGGTCAACGGTGAGGGTGGTGGGGCAAACAGAGAGGAAGTGGTCCCTGACCGAGCGAAGGGTGTCAGGGAGCCGCGTGACTATGTAGTAGAGGGTGATGTACATAGGGGGGGGGGTCTTGGCGCAGAACTCAGCAGGAAGCGCAGCGTGGTAGCGAATGTCACTAGTGCGAAGGTGCGTAATGAGGTCAGCGACTGTGAGAAAAGCGGCGAGGTCAGGGAAGAGGTACGGCAGTATGAGGCGGCTAAGGGCAGCAGTGGCAGGGGAAGAGTAGCGTGCAACGACAGCGTTGTCAAACATTATATATGTTGTTGTGCTTGTTTAGGCTACAGTGGGTTAGCCTATAGGGGGTACACAATTCTAGGGTTAGGTATTTGTACTGTTTTCACTCTTAGTTCACTCATTCCTGTTCGTTGATTTCCATCATGGTATAGAGCAGGTCCTTCCTAGGACCGATTTTTTAGGGCCCGCCACTACCTACCTACCTACCTACCTACCTACCTGTGCCCTAGGGCGCCTCGGTTTTCACGGCCCTTTAAGGCCCCGTCGGCCCGCCCCTAGAGGCCCCGAACGGCCCACGCGCTCACCTCCCTAGAGGCCCCGAACGGCCCCGTCGGCCCCGCGCTCACCTCCCTAGAGGCCCCTTACGGCCCCGTCGGCCCCGTGCTCACCTCCCTAGAGGCCCCGAACGGCCCCGTCGGCCCCTAGAGGCCCCTTTACGGCCCCGCGCTCACCTCCCTAGCGGCCCCGAACGGCCCCGTCGGCCCCGCGCCCACCGCCCCTAGAGGCCCCGAAAGGCCGAGCGCTCGCCCCTAGAGGCCCCGAGCGGCCCGTGACCGCCACAGCCCGGGACCGAACCAAGCCGCGCGACTCGAGCCGAGCCGCGCGACCCAAGCCGAGCCGCGCCGCCCTACCTGAACCGAGCCGCCCTACCTGCTTCCTCCTCCTCCTACTGCTGCTACTTTTACTGCTCCTATGGCTAGCCCACAGGTTCTAGTTTTCGATGCTGAGGGCCGCCCAGTGAAGTTTAAAACCTGGCTAGATGACCTGCACCTCTATCTACAGCTCACAGCCAAGGACGACATCTCACTGTACGACCACGCCCTAGGCCATGTCACTGCCCCTGCTGCTATTGCTGACAGCACTGCTCGCTCACAGTGGCAGGCTCGTGATGCCCACGCTCGCTTCACTATTCGCAACTCCCTGCCGATAGACGAACGCGAGCACTTTGGCCAGCACAAGACTGCACAGGCACTGTACACAGCTGTCGTTGCTCGCTACTCCTCACCTGCCTCTGCCGCGCTAGGCCGTCTCTCCCTCCCCTACCTGTTTCCCGACCTGGCCTCGTTCCACACAGTCGCTGACCTCATCACGCACCTCCGTACTAGTGAGGCCCGCTTCCGTGCCGCCATGCCCGCTGAGTTCCTTGCCACGCACCCCCCCCCCACTCTGGCTCACTCTCTACCACCTAGTCACCCGCCTCCCTGACACACTGCGTGCTGTCAAGGACCACTTCCTAGCTCGCTGCCCCACCGAGCTCACCATTGCCCTCCTCGAGAAGGAACTGCTTGCAGCTGAGACTAGCAGAGTCGCTGTAGGTGCCTCTCGTAACGACCCCCGTACCCCGTTCTTTGAGGGGTGTTCTCCTTCCCCCCTTCTTCCCTCTGTCGCCTCTGCTGCTGCTGTCGACCTCCTTGGTGCTGAGAAGGTCGGTACTGCGTCTGCTTCGAGCGGGCACCGCAGCGGCAAGGGCAAAGGGGGCAAGGGTGGTGGCGGTGATGGCGGGGGAGGCGGTGGTGGGGGCGGTGGAGGCGGTGGGGGTGGTGGCGCGACTGGAGGGGCTAGTGGCAGCGGTGGGGGTGGTGGCGGCAGCGGCGGGGGAGGTGGCAGGGGCGGAGGCGGTGGTGGGGGTGGCGGTGGACGAGGCGGCGGCAGGGGTTGGGGTAGTCGAGGAGGTGGCGGCGGCGGTGGTGGTCGTGGAGGCGCTGGCGGTGGCCAGGGCCAGCAGCACACTCCGTCGCCCTAGGAGGTCCGTGAGTGGTACTCTCAGCACGGGGGGGGGGGGGGGGGGGGGTGGCTTTAGCTGCACGTACGTCATTCGCACTGGTGACCGCACTGGTCAGCAGTGTGGACGACCGCACGCCACACAGCGCTGCTTCGCTCGTCTCGACGACGCTTGGCGTGTTCACTTCCCTCACGCCACTGAGCTGCCCCGCTGGCTTGATCTCCTGAAGAAGGGGATTGATATGTATGCTCTAAACTTTGATGCTATTCTATCTGCTATGTATGTGATGTCTACTAGTGGAGAGGGTTCTGAGTACCTGTGTGTGCCGCCCGACCCGGGCATAAGGACTAGTGCGTCTGCCGCTCCAGGTACTCGCGTGTCGGCTATCCCAGGTGCTGGTGAGGCAGCAGCTCTAGGTGCTTGTGCGTCTGCCCCCCTTGGTACTGAGTCGACTGCAACACTACACACCTTCACACTAGACTCAGGTGCTTCTCGCTGCTTCTTTCGTGACCGCACTGCCCTTGAGCCGCTTGCTCGGCCAGTTGCTGTCTCCCTTGCTGACCCCTCTGGGGGTCCGGTCATTGCGACCTCTTCCACTGTCCTTCCCTGTCCTGCGGTCCCGTCGGGCACACTGTCAGGTCTCCACCTCCCCTCGTTCTCTACGAACTTGGTGGCAGGATGTGCGCTCCAGGACGGGGGTGTTCACCAGTTCACCCCTGCCTACGAGCGCGTGACACACTGTACGTGTGCTCGTACGGGCCGTCACTTGGCTACCTTCACTCGGCAGCCGGGGTCGGACCTGTACACACTGACCACTGAGTCCCCTCAGGTTGCTGCGTCTGCGTCCGCGTCAGGTCACCTGTCGGCCCCCTGCTCGTGTCGCTCTCTGGCGCACGAGACTGTCCTCTGGCACCACTGCCTTGGCCACCCGTCTGTGCAGCGGCTTCGTGCCATGCACTTCCGGTACCTTGTCTCTGGCCTTCCCAGGGTCCTTCCTCCCCTCCCTCCCTCACCTGCTCCTACCTGTCTCCCCTGTGTCGAGGGACGGCAGCGCGCCGCTCCTCACTCCTCCTCGTTTCCCCCGACGAGTGCTCCCTTGCAGACGCTCCACATGGACGTGTGGGGCCCAGCCCGCGTCCGTGGTCAGGGTCAGGAGAGGTACTTCCTGATAGTTGTTGACGACTACTCGCGCTACACCTCGGTCTTCTCCTTGCGCACCAAGGGTGAGGTCCCTGATGTCTTGATCCCTTGGATCCGCAGAGCCCGTCTCCAGCTCAGCGAGCGTTTCCACTCGGACTTTCCTGTCCTGCGCTTGCACTCTGACAGAGGTGGTGAGTTCTCCTCCGACCTCTTGGCAGCCTACTGTGCTGAGCACGGCATTGAGCAGTCGTTCACGCTTCCGGCCTCTCCACAGCAGAATGGGGTTGCAGAGCGCCGCATTGGCCTGGTCATGGAGGTCGCCCGTACCTCCTTGATCCATGCGGCTGCCCCCCACTTTCTGTGGCCGTTTGCGGTTCGGTACGCTGCGCATCAGCTCAACCTCTGGCCCCGTGTCTCCTTGCCGGAGACCTCGCCCACACTATTGTGGACGGGGGAGGTTGGCGATGCGTCGCGTTTCCGAGTCTGGGGATCTCGAGCTTTTGTCCGCGATACGTCTGCGGACAAGCTCTCCTCCCGTGCTGTTCCCTGCGTCTTCCTCGGCTTTGTCCCCGACGCGTCTGGTTGGCAGTTTTACCACGCCACCTCGCGCCGAGTCTTGCCCTCTCAGGACGTCACTTTTGACGAGTCCGTCCCCTACTACCGCCTCTTCCCCTACCGCACTGCCCCGCTCCCCCCCCCGCCTCTCTTCTTCCCGCCAGGTGCTGCTGTTGTAGACCCCCTCCCCCCTCAGGGTGCCGCTCCCTCAGGTGTGTCTCAGGTAGACCCGGTTGAGCCTGTTGAGGTAGCTGTCGACTCTCGTCCTGCTGGGGGTGCTGAGCCTGGGGGTGCTGAGCCTGGGGGTGCCGGGACTGGGGGTGCTGAGCCTGGGGTTGTGGAGCCTGGGGGTGCGGAGCCTGGGGGTGCGGAGCCCTGGAGTGCTGAGCTTGGGGGTGCTGAGCCGCAGAGTTCGGAGTCTGGGGGTTCTGAGTCTGGAGGTGCTGAGCCTGGGAGTCCTACACCTGGAGGAGCCCTCTCCTCAGAGCAGCTGCGTGAGTGGTACTTACAGTACTGCAGCCTCAGGAGAGGTACCTCTGGAGCCAGGCGTGCTACTGGGACTGGTGCTAGTGCTTCTCCTCCTAGTCGGGAGCTCCCCTCCCGTGAGCGGATCCGTGAGTGGTACGAGCGGCGCTGCACTCTTCGGAGTGGCGCGCTTCGTGTCGCGGACCCCGCTGCTGTGGGTACTGCTGCTGGTGCTGAGGACCCGGGTGTTGGAGCTGCTGCTGGTGCTGAGGACCCGGGAGTTGGAACTGCTGCTGGTGGTGAGGACCCAGGTGTTGGAGCTGCTGCTGGTGCTGAGGACCCGGGCGTTGGAGCTGGTGCTGGTGCTGAGGACCCAGGTGTTGGAGCTGCTGCTGGTGCTGAGGACCCGGGCGTTGGAGCTGCTGCTGGTGCTGAGGACCCAGGTGTTGGAGCTGCTGCTGGTGCTGCGGACCCGTGCGTTGGAGCTCGTGCTGGTGCTTGGGACCCGGGCGTTGGTGCTGCTACTGATGCTGAGGACCCTGCCGCTGGTGCTGGTGCTGGTGCTACGGACCCTGGCGCGGGTGTCTCTACTGGTTCTGGCGTCGCTGCACGGCCGCGGCCGTACTTCATTCCGCTCCTTCAGCAGGTTCTTGGTCCGCTCCCTCCTCCGTGTCCTCCTCCCTCCTTAGGGTGTCCTCCGTCTGCCCAGCTGCCGTCGCAGCTACCGTCTGCCTCCTCTCTCCCTGGTCCTACTCCTTACACTGGTCCGACTGGAGGTCTTACTGAGCGTCGTGAGCCTGAGTCTCGTCCTGCGTCGCCTGAGCCTCGTCGTGCGTCGCCTTTCCGTACTGCTCTCACTAGTAGTCGTGTCCCGCGTCAGAGTCTTCCTGCTGTCCCACGCACTCACAAGATGGCGCTTCGTCCGTCCACTGCTCCACAGCGTGTCCCACTGCCGTCTCCTCCTGCTTCCTCTCTTCCTGCTCTTGCTGACCCGGGGTCAGACTCCCTTCGTGCTGCCAGTCCTACTGTCACGCGTCTCTTGGCTACTGTTGTCACTGACCCTTCCTTTGAGTCCGCTGCTACGTCTGCCTTAGTTGCTGAGCTTGTCGACTTTGCTGCCACCTGTCGTCTAGACTACGCTGCTAGCCTGGTTGCTGAGTATGAGTCTGTCTGTCCTCCGTCCGTCGGGGGTAAGTGTGCTCTTAGCACTGACGTCCTTGAGGACAGGCAGGAGGAGTTTGAGTGCTTTGCTGCCGCTTTGCCCCATCTCGTGTCCATGCTTGTTGCCCCTGAGGGAGACCCGGATGCACCAAACATCCCGACCCCACGCTCTTACGCAGAGGCGATGGCCGGTCCCTACTCCTCTCAGTGGCAGTCGGCCATGGACACAGAGATGGCTTCCTGGAAGTCCACAGGCACCTACGTCGACGAGGTTCCCCCGCCTGGGGCGAACATCGTCAGTGGCATGTGGATTTTCAGGGTGAAGCGGTCGCCGCGCTCTCCGCCTGTCTTCAAGGCGCGTTACGTTGCACGAGGCTTCAGTCTGCGAGAGGGAGTTGACTTCTTCCAGACCTTCTCCCCGACCCCGAAGATGACCACTCTTCGTGTTCTGCTGCACGTCGCCGCTCAACGTAACTACGAGCTCCACTCTCTTGACCTCAGCACTGCTTTCCTGCAGGGCACCCTGCACGAGGAGATCTGGCTGCGCCGTCCACCTAGCTTCACTGGGTCGTTCCCTCCTGGTACCCAGTGGAGCCTTCGATGGCCAGTCTACGGTCTCTGCCAGGCGCCACGTGAGTGGCACGACACACTGAGGACTACACTTGCGGCTCTTGGGTTCGCGCCTTCTACTGCTGACCCGTCGCTGTTTCTACGCACCGACACCTCACTGCCGCCGTTCTACATCCTCGTGTACGTCGACGACTTGGTCTTTGCCACTGCTGACACTGCGGCACTCGCCCACGTGAAGTCGGAGCTGCAGAAGAGACACACGTGCACAGACCTGGGTGATCTGACAAGCTATCTTGGCTTGCGGATCACCCGGGACAGAGCACGCCGCACCATCACCTTGACTCAGTCACACATGGTGCAGCAGGTTCTTCAGCGCTTCGGCTTCACGTACTCCTCGCCTCATCCCACTCCTCCGCCTACCGGTCACTCGCTCTCAGCTCTGCCTTCGGATGAGTCCGTAGAGCCGAGTGGCCCGTATCCAAAGCTTGTGGGTTGCCTCATGTACCTCATGACCTGCACTCGACCTGACCTTGCATACCCTCTTAGCATTCTTGCACGCTATGTCGCTCCCGGCCGTCACCGGAAGGAGCACATGGATGCAGCTAAGAGGGTGTTGCGCTACTTGTGCAGTACGTCGGGCATGGGGCTAGTGCTTGGAGGGCGAGTCCCAGTTGTTCTCACTGGGTACTCAGACGCTTCTTGGGCAGACGACCAGGCTACTCAGCGGTCGTCTCAGGGTTACTCCTTCAGTCTTGGCTCTGGTTCAGTTTCTTGGCGTTCTACTCGCTCTTCTTCTGTTCTCAGCTCCAGCTGTGAGGCTGAGATCTACGCCACAGCCATGGCGGCCCAGGAGCTACGCTGGCTCACCTACTTGTTGACCGACCTTGGAGAGCAGCCTCGTTTTCCTCCAGTGCTGTACGTCGACAACAAGGCATCCATTGCCTTGTGTCAGGACTACAGACTGGAGCACAGAACGAAGCACATTGCTCTGCGCTACTTCCTTGCTCGAGAGTTGCAGCAGCGTGGTCAGCTTCGTCTGCGTTACGTGGCCTCTGAGGCCAGCACTGCTGATGTGTTCACCAAGGCGCTTCAGCCTTGTGACCATCAGCGCTTTTGCACTCTTCTAGGCCTTGTGCCTACTGTACCTCACTTGCTTACTTCTTGAGTCTGTTTGTACTGTGATCTCTATATATATATACCTGCATGTTTCCTCTTGCTAAGTTGTGATCATTGTACCTCTTGTTCTATTATAAACCTGCATGTGAACTGGTCTTGTGACCACTTGCTTGTGCTCGGAATTTGTGTGTTATCCTTGAGATCCACCCTGAGCTTGTTTTGCCTTGCTTTGCCTTGACTGGTCTTGTGACCCCTAGTTCTCCCCCACTTCGCCTATGGGGGTGTGTCAAACATTATATATGTTGTTGTGCTTGTTTAGGCTACAATGGGTTAGCCTATAGGGGGTACACAATTCTAGGGTTAGGTATTTGTACTGTTTTCACTCTTAGTTCACTCATTCCTGTTCGTTGATTTCCATCAAGCGTCGTACAAGGTCTTAGCACTCTTGTACTGACTAAAATGCGCGCGCTCAGCGGTCGGTAAGTGGCGGCGCAGAGCAAGGCGGGCAGCAGCATCACGCGTGGCCCACTGTGAGCGAACAGTGGCGTCAACATCAGCAGCAGGGGCAGGAGAGGCACCAGAAGTGAGGTCAAACAGGGAGAGACCGTCTGCCCTATCGCACTAGAGGAAAAGCTGCAGATCATCTACCCAGACTTCAAAGTTAACAGCCCAACCCTCAGCGTCAAAGGTGAGAACACTGGGGGTGGCCATGACAAAAGTAGACAGGCAGTGCGCACAGCGGGGTAGGGCAGTGCAGTGGCAGAGGCGTTGCGCTTACCAGGCAACTGAGGCGGTCCAGGGCAGGCCGGCAGGGACAGGGCCGCTACTGCAGTGACGGCGGCGTCTCGGTTGCTGCGGCCCGGCGGCTCGGCCGCAGTGTGGCTCGGCGGCTCGGCCGCAGTGCGGCTCGGCGGCTCGGCGGCAAAGGCGGCTCGGCGGCAAAGGCGGCTCGGCGGTAAAGGCGGCTCGGCGGCTCAGCGGCTCGGCAGCGAAGGCGGCTCGGCGGGGCCGTGAAGGGCGGCGTCGCTGCCGCGAAGGAGCGGCGACGGAGCCGCTGAAGGGCGGCGACGAGGCCGCCAAAAGGGGCGGCGACGAGGCCGAGTATGGGCGGCGACGGGGCCGCGAAAAGGGGTGGCAACGGGGCCACGGAAAGGGGCAGCGACGGGGCCGCTGAAGGGTGGCGACGGGGGCGCTGAAGGGCGGCGACGAAGCCGCTAAGAGGCGGCGACGGGGCCGCTGAAAGGGCGGCGACGGGGCCGCTGAAGGGCGGCGACGAAGCCGCTAAGAGGCGGCGACGGGGCCGCTGAAAGGGCGGCGACGGGGCCGCTGAGAGGGCGGCGACGGGGCCGCTGAAAGGGCGCCCCGGGTAGGAAAAAAAGTTCGATCTTGGTGGGCCCTAGGACAGTTCCCACTAGGGAACCTGCTCGATACCATGAGAAACTTAGAACGAGAATGGATTGACTAAGGAATGAAAGTGATACAAATATGAAACCCTAGAATTGTGTACCCCTTAGTATCTAACTCGCTACAGCCTACACAGGCTAGATCATATAAGTTTGACAAGTCTGAGCACAAGCAACAGGCCACAAGGCCAGTTCACATGCAGAGATATATATGTAACAGCAACAGCACAGTGATCTCTATCTACAAGAGCAAGCATGCAGGTATACATATAAATCACAGTACAATCAAAGCCTATAGCAAGTGAGGAAACGTGGGCACAAGGCCAACGGTAACAAAGTGCAGAAACGCTGATGATCACCAGGCGGAAGCGCCTTGGTGAATTTATCAGCAGTGTTGGCCCGAGTGGCCACGTAAGCAAGACGTAGAGCGATGTGCTTCGTTCTAGGCTCCAGTCTGTGCTCCTGACACAAGCCAATGGCGGCCTTGTTGTCAACGTACAGCACTAGAGGAGAACGAGGCCGCTCTCCCAAGTCGGTCAGCAGGTAGGTGAGCGAGCGTAGCTCCTGTGCCGCCATAGCCGTGGCATAGATCTCGGCCTCACAACTAGAGCTGAGAACTAAAGACGAACGTGTAGAGCGCCAGGAAACTAAACCAGAACCAAGGCTGAAGGTGTAACCCTGTGACGACCGCTGCGTAGCCTGGTCGTCAACCCAAGAACCGTCTGAGTGCCCAGTGAGGACAACGTCGCTCCGTCCTCCAAGCACGAGCCCCATGCCCGATGTACTGCACAAGTAGCGTAGTACCCTCTTAGAAGCATCCATGTGCACCTTTCGGTGCCGACCAGGAGCCACGTAGCGAGCCAGAAGGCCAAGAGGGTACACAAGGTCAGGACGAGTGCAGGTCATCAGGTACATGAGGCGGCCGACTAGCTCGGGGTAAGGACCACTCGGCTCTACCGACTCGTCCGAAGGTGGAGCTGAGAGCGAGTGACCTGTAGCCAGAGGAGTGGCCTATGCCGAGGACCAGGTGAAGCCGAAGCGCTGAAGGACCTGCTGCACCATGTGTGACTGAGTCAGTGTGATGGTGCGGCGTGCTCTGTCCCGGGTGATCCGCAAGCCAAGATAGCTTGTCAGCTCACCCAGGTCTGTGTACGTGTGTCTCTTCTGCAGCTCCGACTTCACCAGGGCGAGAGCCTCAGTGTCAGCAGTGGCAAAGACCAAGTCGTCGACGTACACGAGGATGTAGAACGGCGGCAGCAAAGTGTCGGTGCGCAGAAACAGCGACGGGTCAGCAATCGATGGAGCAAACCCAAGAGCCGCAAGGGTCGTCCTCAGTGTATCGTGCCACTCATGTGGCGCCTGGCGGAGACCGTAGACCGGTCGCCTGAGGCTCCAATGGGTACCAGGAGGGAACGACCCAGTGAAGCCGGATGGGCGGCGCAGCCAGATCTCCTCGTGCAGACTGCCCTGTAAGAAGGCTGTACTGAAGTCAAGAGAGTGAAGCTCGTAGTCACGGTGAGCGGCAACGTGCAGCAGCACCCAAAGAGTGGTCATCTTCAGGGTGGGGGAGAAGGTCTGGAAGAAGTCTACTTCCTCTCGCTGACTGAAACCTCGTGCAACATAACGCGCCTTGAAGACAGGCGGAGAACCCGGCGGCCGCTTCACCCTGAAAATCCACATGCCACTGACTATGTTCGCCCCAGGTGAGGGAACCTCGTCGACGTAAGTGCCTGTGGACTTTCAGGATGCCATCTCTGCGTCCATGGCTGTCTGCCACTGAGAGGAGTACTGACCCGCGATCGCCTCAGCGTAAGAGCGCGGGGTCGGGATGTCTGGTGCATCCGAGTCTCCCTCAAGGGCAAGCAGCATGGCCACGAGATGAGGCGCAGCGTCGGAAAGACACTCAAGGTCCTCCTGCTTGTCCTCAAGGACGTCCGTGCCAAGAGCACACTCACCCCCGACGGACGGAGGACAGACAGACTCAGACTCAGCAACAAGACGAGTAGCGTAGTCTAGACGACAGACAGCAGCAAAGTCAACAAGCTCAGCGACAAAGGCAGACGCAGCTGACGACTCAAACGACGGGTCAGTGACAACAGTGGCTAGCAGACGCGTGACTGTAGGGTGCTCAGCACGAAACCGGTCAGACTCAGGGTCCGGAGCAACAGGCAGAGAAGACGCAGGAGGAGACGGCAGAGAAACACGCTGCGGAGAAGAGGAAGGAGGACGGACTACAAGGGAAGGGCCGGGGACAGCCGGCGGACGCTGACGAGGAACACGACGACTGGAACGACCAGAACGGAGAGGTGAGACAGGACGTGACGCAGGCTCACGACGCTCAGCAAGGCCCCCTGTCTGCTCAGCGTAAGGAGAAGGAGCAGGCAGAGGTGAGCCAGGCTGTAATGGAAGACGAGTAGACGACGGGAGGCTAAGAACCTGACGAAGTACGGAGTCAGGCGGTGGCAGAGACGACGGAGACGGTGGAGCAAAGAACAGGCGCGGCTGTGCAGTGCCACCAGCACCAGCAGCTCTAGCACCCTCAGGAGCTCCAGCACCTCCAGCAGCTCCAGCACCTCCAGCGCCTCCAGCACCCTCAGCAGCTCTAGCACCTCCAGCAGCTCCAGTACCCTCAGCAGCACCCCCAGAACCGGCACCTCAAGTCCCAGGGTCTCCAGCCTCCGCGTCCCCAGCAGCAGCACCCCCAGACCCAGGGTCTCCAGCAGTAGCACCCTCAGGCTCAGAAGCACCTCCAGCCCCAACAACTCCAGCACCTCCAGTACGAGCACCTCCGGGACCAGCACCACTCCCAGCTCCAGTGACGTCAGCAGAAGTACCTCCAGCGGCAGAGCCCCAAGCTCCAGAAGCGTGACCCTGACGGCGACCGTACCAGTCGTGCAGCTGCTGTGAGGTGAGAGGCACACGCGGACGAAGGCGGCTACTCCAAGGAGACCGCGCAGCAGCAGACTCAGAACCCTCAGGCGTCGCACCCCCAGACTTAGTACCCCCAGGCTCCTCACACTCATGCTCAGCACCTCCAGACACAGCACCCCCAGGCTCAGGACCTCCAGTCTCCTCACGCTCAGGCTCAGCGCCCCCAGACTCCGCACCCCCCGGCTCAGCACCTCCTGGGTCCTCACGCGCAGGCTCCGCACCCCCAGGCTTAGCACCCCCAAGCTCCGCACCCCTAGGCTCAATACCCCAAAGCTCCGCACCCTCAGGCCCAGCACCCCCAAAGACAGCACCACCCCTAGCAGGACCTGAGTCACCAGTGACCTCAACAGGCGCAGGCACGGGAGGGTCTACCTGAGAAACACCTGAAGGAGCAGGACCGGGTGCGGGGAGGGGGTCTACCTGGGGAGGACCTGGGGCGAGAAAGAGCGGTGGGGGGGGGGGCGAGGGGCAGTGCGGTAGGGAAAGAGACGGTAAAAGGGGACGGACTCATCAAAGGTGACGTCCTGAGACGGAAAGACACGGCGCGAGGCGGGGTCGTAAAACTGCAAGCCAGAAGCGTCAGGGACAAAGCCAAGGAAGACACAGGGAATGGCGCGAGCGGAGAGCTTGTCCGCGGTGGTATCGCGGACAAAGGCACGAGCACCCAAGACTCGGAAACTCGACGCACCGCCAACCTTCCCCGTCCACAGCAGTGTGGGCGAGGTCTCCGGCAAGGAGACACGGGGCCAGAGGTTGAGCTGATGCGTGGGGTACCGGACCGCAAACGGCCACAGAAAATGGGGGGCAGCCGCATGGATCATGGAGGTACGAGCGACCTCCATGACTAAGCCAATGCGGCGCTCAGCAACCCCATTCTGCTGCGGAGAGGCTGGAAGCGTGAACGACTGGCGGATGCCGTGCTCCGCACAGTAGGCTGCCAAGAGGTTAGAGGAGAACTCACCACTTCTGTCAGAGTGCAGACGCAGGACAGGAAAGTCCGACTGGAATCGCTCGCGGAGCTGGAGACGAACAGCGCGGATCCAGGGGATCAAAACATCAGGGACATCCCCCTTGCGCTGCAAGGGGAAGACCGTGGTGTAGCGCGTGTAGTCGTCGACGACCAGCAGGAAGTACCGCTCGTGGCCCTGTCCACGGACGCGGGCTGGGCCCCACACGTCCATGTGGAGAGTCTGCAGGGGAGCCTCTGTGGGAGGAAATGAGGAGGAGCGAGGAGCGGCGCGCTGCCGCCCCTCGACGCAAGGAATGCAGGCCGGCGCAGGCGAGGGAGGGAGGGCAGGCGGAGACCTGGGAAGGCCAGAGACCAAGTAGCGAGAGTGCATGCTGCGAAGGCGAGGCAGGGAGGGGTGGCATTGGAGGTGGTGCCACAGGAGAGTGTCGTGCGACAGGCGACGACACTCACACTGGGTAGCTACCTGAGCAGACGCGTGCAGCTTGGGAGACAAAGGGGTGGAGCGTGGCTCAATGGTGAGGGTGTACAGACTGGACCCTGGCGCACGGGTGAACGTGGCCAGGTGGCGGCCGGTCTGTACCAGGGTCTATACCTGGATCCGGCGGCACACACAGGTAGCAGTCACCCTCAGCACTAACAGACAATGCATACATAGCAGCAAGAATAGCCTCATAGTCAAGATCAAAGATTGGTACATCACGCCTAAGCAAGTCTGCCCAGTTGGGGAACTCAGTAGCAACAGGAAACTTGGCGCGCTAGGCGTCGCTAAGTCGAGCGAAGCAGCGCTGCTCAGTGTGAAACCCTGTGCACTGGCGATTAGCGCGGGGACCTGTGCGGATGATATAGGGGCAGCGAACAGGACCCCCATAAGCCCCACGCCCGGCATACCAGTCAAGAAGCTGCTGGGAAGTGGGGGCCTGGCGCTGACGCTGCTGCTGCTGGCCCTGACCACCACTGCCACCACCGCTCCTCCCCCACCGCCGCTGCTGCCCCCTCCACCGCCCCTAGTGCCTCCGCCGCCCCCACCACCACCTCCACCACCTCCACCCCCACGACCACCCCCACCACCTCCACTGCCCCCGCCGCCTGCAGCACCGCCACCTCCACCGCCGCCCCCACCTCCCCTGCCACCCTTGCCGCCCCTGCTGCTGCGACGCTTCCCACTAGGAGCGGAAGCAGCCCCGACCTCTTCAGCACCAAGGTAGTCGTGAGCAGCAGCTGCGGAGGCGTAGGAGGGGGTGAGAGGGGAGGGGGAGCACCCCTCAAAGAGGGGAGAGCGCGGAGTGCCACGAGCAGCACCTACAGCGAGGATGTTCTTCTCTGCTGCTAGGAGGTGCTTCTCGAAGTCGTCGACAGTGAGAGTAGGGGGGTCGAGCGCTAGGAAGTGGTCCCTGACCGAGCTAAGAGTGTCAGGGAGGCGGGTGACGAGGAAACAGAAAGTGAAGTACATCGGGAGGGGGGGGTTGCGGCGCAGAACTCGTCTGAAAGGGCGGCACGAAAGCGGGTGTCAGTAGTGCGCAGGTGAGAAATGAGGTCCTCAGTAGTGGTGAACGACGAAAGGTCGGGGAACAGGCAGGGTAGCATGAGTCGACCTATGGCTGCAGTGGCCGGGGAGGAGTAGCGCGCAACTTCAGCGTCATACAGTGTCTTAGCAGTTTTGTGCTGGCCGAAATGCGCGCGCTCAGGAATCGGCAGATGGTTCCTAATAGGTAGGTGTGCTGCAGCATCACGAGTCTGCCACTGTGATCGTTCGAGAGCAGGAGCATCGGCAGCAGGGGCAACGGCAGTGCAAGACACGTAATCGAACAGTGAGACACCCTCTTTAGCATCAGTCAGAAGGAACAGCTGCAGGTCGTCGAGCCACACAGCGAACTCTATGGGGCGACCGTCAGGCTCGAACGCAAGAACATTAGGCGTCGTCATATCGGTAGCAGGCAAAGGCAGGTAGGAAGCAGACAGCTGACAGTAGGCACTAGACAGTAGGCCGCAGGCAAAGACAGAGACAGCAGGCAGTAGACAGAAGGCAGCAGGCAGTAGACAGAAGGCAGCAGGCAGTAGACTGCAGGCTCAGACAGAGGCAGTAAGAGGTAGGCAACACAGGCAACGTGCTGGGCAGTAGCAGGCCGCAATCGAGCTCCTAAGGTGGTGCTCTAGACAGTAGCAGGCCGTGCAACCCTAAGACAGCGGGCTCGGCAGCAGTAAGCCGCACAGGCAGGCACACGAGCAGGGCACGCGCGGCTGCTGGCTGCGTGCGGCTGAGGGCTGCGCGCGGCTGCTGGCTGCGCGCGGCGACTAGCTGCGCGCGGCTCCTTGCTGCGCGTGGCGATAGGCTGCGCGCGGCTCCTGGCTGCGCGTGGCGACGGGCAGCGCGTGCGACTGCGTGCTGCGTGCGGCGACGGGCCGCACGGGCGTAACCTAAGCAGGCTGCGCGCGGGCGGCGTAAGGGGCGCACGGGCGGAGCCGAAACGGGCGTCGCGGGTGGGTCTAAAATGAGGCGCGCGCAGGAAAAAAAAGGCCACGCGCGCGCAGCCGAGGCGCGCGCGGGCTCTAGGCAGGGTAGGTACGTTTTTAGTGAGGTGAAATAGGTAACGGTGGGCCCTAATCCTAGGTCCTAAGGACCTATGCTCTAGATGCCATGTCAAGACTTAGGCAAGGTAATCGATGAGTATCGAGAGTTTGGTACAAACAATATAACCTAAGGGGTTGTACCCCACAGTGAGTACCCCACTAACCCAAACTACAACATATAACTATATGTTTGACAAGCTCGAGTAGCCGTGCCCGAATATTTTTTCCACCTGGTGGCTCGTGAGTCATGACACTACTATGGCCATGCGTCGTGCATCATGCTGCCACATGTCAAGTCACCGCCACAAGCGGAAGGCAAGCAGAGCCGTTTGTGTAGCCGTGCATCGTTCCGATGGGTTTTCAGATTCGACAGAAACGACGAATCGTTTCCCACTCAACGGGAGTTGCTCACTTGACCCCGCGAACATCCTTACACACCACGGCCAGCGACTCGCAAAAAACAAAATACAGCACCAAAATATCGAGTATGAGAGGATTCAGGTCAGTGAAAGCAACGCAAGGAAGACTCGATCCTAATAAGCACTTCCTCAAATTCTATGTTATGCAGAGTTGCCACCCTCCGCATTCGAACGCCCCTTTCTTGACGAATAAAATACTGTAGTTGGTTATGTCCGCACGGATGGCTACTACTAACCATGGGGAAGCGGTGCTGGAAGAGAGCGTGCTTGCTCTCCACCTCACAGATCCCCCTCCTGCCGGAAACTCACACGAGGTGAGCGTGATGACAGAGCATCCGATTCTCTGGTTTCGCATCACCTCCCTCGTCCACCTCTCGATTCCTATCTCCAACTCCCTATTCCCTCCTCTCCTCCCCCCATCTCCAATCTTCTCTCCCCAAAACCCTTCAGAGCGTGGACGTGGTTGATCTGCTGCCCGGCCCCATCTGGCACATCATCTTCCGCCACCTGTTGCTACCGCCAGCCAGCACTTCTCGGTTAAAGAAACGGGGCGAATCTTCTGAGGAAACGTCACAGGAAGTCTCATCACAGGGAGCAGGCCGCAGTTTGTGCAACTTGATAGATCTTCTATTTGGAGACGATTCTGCAAGTATTCAAGAATGGGACCAGTTCTTTGAGTCAATGGATTTGGAAGCTGACAGCTGCTCGTGCGCCTCTTTGCAGCGGGAAGCCGACTGCTGTTTGTGTGCCACTTGCACTCAGTTGCCTGGGAGCAGCATGAGGACACGAGGCGCTTCGGCTCCTCCTTGCATGTGCTGCGCTGTGCCATGGCCAGCAAGAGGCTTCTCCTCCATGCCGTCTCCTTCTTCGTGAGTGGTTTGCTGCTTCTGCATTCAGTCGTACAACCTCCTTTGTTATGTATTTCATGCCATTAAGAAGGTTCTTGATGCCGTTTTGAATTCTCACTGGGCAGGAGCTTAAGCCCATCTTGTTCGTGTTTGACAGTCAGGAGCCCCCATGGAAACGAATGCTCTCGTTTTTCCTCAAACGGACAGCTCTCAAGTCCCTTGACGTTGATTTCACCAGCTTGAGGGACCTGCAGACCCTCACCTGGCTTATGGCACCTTCTTTGCAGTCCCTCACAAGCCTGTGCCTTTGGCCCATGAACTCTACTACACGATATGAGTTTGCCCAGCGCAAACTGATCAATCCGGCCTTTCTCGAGGAGTTTGAACAGCTGCAGCGGCTGGAACTAGGCCGCAGAAGGTGGCAATTAGGCCGTCTGAATGCGGCACGGTTCACAGCGCTACGGGGTCTGACCATCACGCATGCGGATTGCAGCGAATACGATTACAACTTCCTGTCATACATCTCACCACAGCTGCATGAGTTCTCACTCTCATCCATCCCACTGCAGCTATATGAGCACTCTCACTCCTCCTTCGGTCGTCACTCTTGCATCCTCAATCTCAACTTCTCCGTTGCTCGAGTAATCACAATTAAATTTGATCGTCAAGAGCTAATCCTCCGCTTCTCCCTTCCTCCCACTCTGAAGGCCTTTTCTGTCATAGCGGAGGAGCTAGAGATCGATTGCAAGTGCGACAGCCCCCTCTCTCTCAACTTTCTTACTCTGATTGGCTACTCGCAGCTTGTCGTTTATCCACTCCCACTTGCTTCCGCCAAAACTGTCTGTTTGTTCGGACCAACCACCCAAAAGAAGCCCAGGTCGTCGTGGGATGTACTTGTGGGTCAGCTTTCTTGGACCCGGCTACTGAGCAGCATAGCGCCAACGGTGGAGTCGCTGGTAGTGAAGTATGGCTGGCTTGTGAAGAGCGTGAATGTTGAGTGGAGCTGCCTGCGCTGCATTGCCATTGGTGTAAATGACATGTTTGGGAGCAGCAGCAGAAGGCGTGAAGCCATAAGGCCTCCTTTCATGGATGGTCCAGCGCTAGAATCAATCTTCTTTGTGACAAGCCAGTGGCAGCCCGAGACGCTGGCTACTATGCAAACGATTTCCTGTCCCTCACATGGTACTGCATTCTTGGCCGGTCGTTTTGCTGGGAGGAGGAGAGGGGGCAGCAGAGCAGTGAGCTGGTGATGCACGTGAGGGAAGGCCGTGGTGTGCGTGCGAGCCAGGGCATGGTGCAGGATGATCGTGTCATGAGGTTCCTTGAAACCCTTTCTACCCACCTGAGGTTGTGAGTGAGTGGAACCAAATTTCCAGGTGTGAGAGCTGGGTGTGAGGGGGTTATGAGAGGGGGGTGTGAGAGGGAGGAACAGGAAGGCTGATGTCTGTTGGTTGCAGTGGTAGTAATGGTGGTGAGGTGACCATGGGGTAGTGTGCACCTGATGTGACGGTGGAATTGGTGGGGATGGAATGGTGGTGGGTGCTGGCAGTGGGGGTGGCAAGGTATACGTGGCAATGCAATTGTATGGATGGGACAAACAATCGTAATGTAACTACTACCTGCTACATGAGCGCTAGTCAGGAAATGCATGCTCACAATCAACAGTTGGTGAAGAGGTACGGTACAGGAGGATGCAGAAAGAGGATGTGATCACAATCTGATGTACTGGTATATGCTTTATGAGTGTCTGAGCAGATTTGGTAGCAAGTGTTCCGTGACTGTGTCCTTAGATTTAGTTGCAGTCACCTGAAAGTTCTTTTTAGTGGCAACGTGAAGAGGTCTGGAGAGAAACAACATTTGAGTAAACTACCCACCTACCTGGTCACAATAAGATATATTACTCTGAAACTACCCCACTCCCTTCCTTCAAATGCAATTACCTGCGATGTCTACACCAATGAATGCTAAAGTTAATACACTGAACGAAAATATTGTCCTTATGCATTCGAAATGTACGATAACTTCCCCCCGATTGGGGCCTTAACAAGATTTGTAATAAGCATATTGCATACAGGGTTTAGGGTTGACTGTTACGAGTTTGTGTAGGCTACCTATAGCCCCCACAAAACCTCTTGCTCTAACGAGTCAGCTCTTCCCTCTCGACACCCCACACGGACAAATCTTTCCGAAATGTCCCGCTCCTTATTTGGTGCGCTGTTAGATCTAGACTAATTAGGTACACAGGAGATTACGGGCGTATACTACAATTTACGAGTAGCGCTAACACCCCCGCAGCATGAAGCGCCTTAGCGAGGAGAAACAAAAGCGGATCATGCAGCGAATTGCGGAGGGGCGTAGTTACCGCCAAATCGCGCAGGAGTCGGGAGTTTCAAAGTCTGCAGTTCATGACGAGCTCCTCCGCCACCTCGGTCCAAAAACGTTCGACGAGCTAGTGCCGTCCCCGGCGAAACCTGGTCGGCCGCGCAAGTTACCAGAGCAAATCGCGAGGATAGTTATAACGTCGATAGTGTCTGGTGAATCGAAATCCGCCGAGGCGGCAGCGGGAATGATCTCCTCATCGCTCGGCATCAGTGTCACGGGCGCCACTGTGCGAAACACTCTCAAGCGGCACAGAGTTAGGGCGGTAGAAAAGCCATCGAAGCCTAGATTATCAGCGAAATATGTCAAGGACCGCAGGCAGAGGGCCAAGGACCATCAGCACTGGACGATCGACGACTGGAAATGTGTGGTGTGGAGCGACCAAACGAAGATCTGCCGGTTTAGTAGCGACGGCCGTAGTTGGGCCTGGATTAGGGAGGACTGTCACATGGAGCCGCACCATGTGAAACAGACCGTCAAACATGGCGGCGGCTCCATCATGATTTGGGGGTGCATGACATACAACGGCGCGGGTTTCATGTGCAAGATAGAGGGAAGAACGAACGGCGAGTTGTACCGTTCAATCCTGCAGGACGAGCTGCAGCAGACTATTGAGCATTACGAGTTGGATCCCGAGACCGTTGTGTTCCAGCATGACAATGACCCGAAGCATACATGCAAGATGGTCAGAACTTACCTTGCCGAGCAGCCGTACTCTGTGCTCCCATGGCCAGCATCTAGTCCGGACCTCAACCCCATAGAACATTTGTGGGTTTACTTGAAGAAGCAGCTGCTTGCTTACCCCCACCCCCCTGCAGGCATTCTCGAGCTATGGGACAGAGTACAAGTGGAATGGGAGAAAATCCCTGCGGCTTGGTGCAGTGAGCTGATCGACAGCATGCCTAGGCGTGTGCGGGCTGTGCTCAAGGCCAAGGGTTGCTGGACCAAGTACTAGATTCTGCTTGCTTTGCATGTGTGACTGCAATTGTAAAAAACTGCCCTTATGCTAGTATTTGCCTATTTCTATATTCGCTGCTTGTATAACCGAGTTTATGGCCAACATGCAACGTTTTTAGATGTACAACCCTTTAGGCTTTAACCTCATGTGGTCCAGTTATTAAGGCTTAATCACCATGGCCACTAATGATCGTTCATGTCTTGAAACATGAATATATGGACAATTATTTCGTTCAGTGTAAGAGCAGTATGTCCTCCAGAGCCTCCCTTTGTACTTCAACATATAAGCCTCATCTTTATCAACACTGTACCCTTCAACCAGCTCCCTATTCTAACTGTGCATCTTCTCCCTCACATTCTTTGGTCACCTCTCCCCAAAGCAATTGCTCGACACGCCGCTCCTCCATATGCACTATAGGGGTCTCAGCCAACTCCTTCCCCTGCTTCTCCCAGTAGAACGAGCGACTCGAGATGCAGTACAGAGCGAGGGAGGGGCAGGATTCCCGTAGAGAAGCAAGGGTGTGCTGCTCGCATGTGCGGGTGGGGAAGAAGATCGCTTCCAAGTTTGGAGCCTTGATAAGTGAAGACTTTCCTATTTGCTGCTCCTCCTCCTCCTCTTACTGTTCCTGCTGCCTTCTTTCCTCCTCCTGCTGCTGCTGCTGCTGCTGCTGCTGGCACCGAGGTTGCCCCCGTTTCTGCCACCGCTCCCTTTCCAGCTGCCATTCCTCTTCCTGCCGTCGCTCCTCCTCCTGCCGCCGCCGCTGCTTCTCCAAGAGCCTCTGGCTGCGCTCCTGAAATTTCTCCACAGTAACCTCCTCCTCGCCATCGTCCCGACGCTTCTCAACCTTTAAATCCATCTCAAACCGCTCCTCACTCTCCACGACAATCCCAAGGCTGCGTAGGCAGCTCCACTCCGCATCCACCTTCTCTATAGGCACACCATGCCTCACTATAAGCACCTCCACTGTGGGTGCTATGGCGGCCAGGCGTGCAGTCCAGGAGAACTTGGGCAACCTGCGGAGGTGCATGCGCTGCCAGTCTGGAGGCGGTTTAGGGGATTCCCAATGAGGGTAAAAGTCATCGTCGCCGGGGTAGTAATCGATGGGAGGGCCATTGAGGTAGGCGACTCGGGCGGATGCAAGGCGGAGGGAGGAGATGACGAGCCGCTCCTGGCCATAAAGTGAGAGCTGGTCGAGAACGAGAGGGGCGCTGCTCTTGCAGGCAAGGATAAGCCGTTTGGCCATTGTCAAACTTATTTGCTATAGTCTGTGTAGGCTGTAGTGGGGTAGACAATATGGGGTACAACACTTTTGAGTTTTCCTACTTGTACCCACTTGTTTGCCAGTGCATTCACCCCTTGTTCTTTTCACATGGTATAGAGCAGGTTCCCTAGTGGGAACGTTTCCTAGGGCCCACCGAAAATCGACTTTTTTTTTCCTGCCCGGAGCGCGCTGTGCCCCTGCCCGAGTCGCGCCCCGTGTGCCTGCCCTCCCGTCGCGTCCCTTGCCCTTAGCGGCCCGTCGCGCTCCCTTACGGCCCCGTAGCGGCCCCTCTATCGGCCCCTCACGGCCCCTTTCACGGCCCTTCGCGGCCCCTTCAGGCCCCTCGCGGCCCCTTCGTGGCCCCTCGCGGCCCCGTCGCGGCCCCGTCGCCGCCCTCCGCGGCCCCGTCGCCACCCTTCGCGGCCCCGTCGCCGCCCTTCGAGGCCCCTCGCGGCCCCTTCTCGACCCCGTCGCCGCCCTTCGCAACCCCGTCGCCGCCTGTCTCGGCCCCGTCGCCGCCCTTCGCGGCCCCGTCGCCACCCTTCTCGGCCCCGTAGCCGCCCTTCGCGGCCCTTCTCGGCCCCGTCGCCACCCTTCGCGGCCCCTTCGCGGCCCCGTCGCCGTCCTTCGCGGCCCCTTCATGGCCCTTCGTGGCCCCTTCACCGCCCTTGGCGGCCCCTTCTCGGCTCCTCCGCGGCCCCTTCTCGGCTCCCTCACGGACCTGCCGCCCCGCCGTCGCCGCCCCTGCAGCAGCAGCCAACGCCGCTCCAGCAGCGGAAGCCGCCACCGCCGGTGTCGCCGACAGCAGGCAGCCGGCGCTGCCACAGCCGGGGCCGCATCCGCCGCAGCAGCGTATAGCAGCAGCAGCCGCAGCCGCCGACGGCAGCAGCCGCAGCCGCCACAGCCGTGGCCGCAGCCGCCGCAGCCGCCTACTACAGCTGCCGCCGCCGTCGACAGCAGCGACCGCCGCCGCTGTCCCGGCCCTGCCCTGCAGAGCAGAGCGGCGCTCCTCTGCCGCCCTGTAGCGGCCCCGTCCCTACCGACGCGCCTCGGCCCTACCCCACCACTTGCGGCACTCTACCCACCTGCCCTGGTAAGAGCACCACCGAGCCGCGCCCCTCCTGTTGCTACTGCTGCTGCTGCCCCTAGCCTGCTGCCACTGCTGTCATGGCTACCCCTAGCGTTCTCGCCTTTGATGCTGAGGGTCGGGCTGTTGACTTTGAGGTCTGGGTCGATGATCTACAGCTTTTCCTACAGTGCGATAGGAAAGACGGTCTCTCACTGTTCGATCTCACGTCTGGCGCCTCTGCTGCCCCTACTGCCGATGCTGACAGCACTGTTCGCTCACAGTGGGCCACACGCAATGCTGCTGCCCGTCTTGCTGTGCGTAGTCACCTGCCGTCCACTGAGCGCGCGCACTTTAGTCAGTACAAGAGTGCTAAGAACTTGTACGACGCTGTAGTTGCATGCTACTCTTCCCCTGCCACTGCTGCCCTTAGCCGCCTCATGCTGCCGTACCTCTTCCCTGACCTCGCCGCCTTTCCCACTGTCGCTGACCTCATTACGCACCTTCGCACTAGTGACACCCGCTATCGCGCTGCGCTTCCTGCTGAGTTCTGCGCCAAGAACCCCCCCCCCATGTACATCACCCTCTACTACATAGTCACCCGGCTCCCTGACTCCCTTCGCTCGGTCAGGGACCACTTCCTCTCTGTTTGCCCCACCACACTCACCGTTGACCTCCTCGAGGAGTGCCTCCTGGTAGCTGAAAAGAGTAAAGTCACTGTAGGAGCCTCTCGTGGTGACCCTCGTGCCCCCTTCTTTGAGGGGTGCTCCCCCTCCCCCCTTTTGCCCTCTGTTGCCTCTGCTGCTGCCGTCGACTTCGTTGGCACCGAGTCGGTCGGCGCTGCGTCTGCCCCTAGCGGGAGACGCCGCACCGGCAAGGGCAAGGGGGGCAAGAGCGCAGGAGGGGCTGGCGAGGGCGGTGGAGGTGGCGGTGGAGGCGGCGGAGGGAGTGGGGGTGGCGGTGGGAGTGGTGGCGGAGGTGGGGGCTTCTGTGAGGATCTAGGATCGAGCTCAGAAAAGATGATTCAAATTGAATTGAATGATCACCTGGGTACAACACGAGGCTATATATAGGCTCGACACAAGGCCCCGTAACCAGGTGTTACGCGAAGGTTCTGCGGGTCGCGAAGCGTCCCGAACAGATCCTTACCGAATTCGGTAGAAGGCAATTCGGTGGCAACCGAACAGCCAGAATTCGGTGCACGCAACCTAGCTCGGTGCTATAACTATAATAAAATATAGGAAAGCACCTAGCCTAGGAAATCAAGCAATTCATCCATGCATATGATTATCCTATGCTAGAAATAGCATGATAAAGTAAAGGCAAGCAAGCATAGCTGGCATAAGCCGTCGTACTCTCACAGCTTCGGTGGCGGCGGTGGAGGCGGAGGCGGCGGCGGCGGTGGCGGTGGGAGCAGAGGAGGTTTTGGTGGCGGTGGTGGCGGAGGTGGCGGCGGCGGAGGTGGAGCTGGTCGGGGTGGCTGTGCGCAGCGGAGCGGCTTCGGTGGTGGTCAGCGCCAGCAGCAGCAGCGCACTCGTGAGACCCCGCCCCCCCAGCAACTTTGTGAGTGGTACGCTGCGCGTCAGCGGGGTGGGGGTGCTGGTCCTTGTGCCTACGTCCTGCGTACCGGCAACCGCACTGGTGAGCCGTGCAGTGGCCTGCACACCACCCAGCTCTGCTTCGGCCGCCTGACGGACGCTTGGCGTCTCCAGTTCGTTGACGCCACTGAGATCCCCCGCTGGGGCGAGCTGCTTAGGTCGAGGGTTGCTATCTTTGATCTGGATTATGATGCCATTCTTGCTGCCATGTATGTTTTGTCTACTAGTGATGAGGGTGACTGTTACCTGTGTGTCCTGCCTGACCCGGGCATTGACGCTGCTGCTCTAGGTGCTGGTGAGGCTGCTGCTCTAGGTGCTAGTGCGTCTGCTGCCCCAGGTACTGGTGAGTCTGCTCTCTCAGGTACCACGTCGGCTCAAGCCTTAAACACCTTCACCCTTGACTCGGGTGCTTCCCGCTCCTTCATTCGAGACCGCACCACGCTTAAGCCGCTTAGTCGGCCAGTTGCAATCTCCCTGGCGGACCCCTCTGGGGGTCCTGTCCTTGCCCGCTTCTCCACTGTCTTACCGTGTCCGGCGGCCCCCTCTAGCACCCTGTCCGGTCTCTACCTCCCCTCGTTCTCTACGAACTTGGTGAGTGGTGCTGATCTACAGGATGGGGGGGTTGACCAGTTCACTCCTGCGAGTCAGCGGGTGACCCACTGTACGTGTGCTCGGACGGGCCGACACTTGGCCACGTTTACCCGTCAGCCGGGGTCGAGCCTGTACACACTGACTACTGAGTCTCCTCTGGTTGCTCAGTCTGGTCAGGTAGCTGCGTCGGATCAGGTGTTTACTGCGGCGTCCAGGTCTGGTCCTGAGTCTGCTCCCTGCTCGTGTCGTCTCCTGTCCCACCAGACTCTCCTCTGGCACCACCGCCTTGGTCACCCCTCCCTGCCTCGTCTGCGAGGCATGGCCTCCCGTTACCTTGTCTCTGGTCTCCCCCAGTCCCTCCCTCGCCTCCGTCTGGGGCCTGCCCCTACCTGCGTTCCCTGTGTCGAGGGGCGGCAGCGCGCCGCCCCTCACTCCTCCGAGTTTCCTCCGACAGAGGCTCCGCTGCAGACTCTTAACATGGACGTGTGGGGCCCCGCCCGCGTCAGTGGCCAGGGTCACGAGCGTTACTTCCTGTTGGTGGTTGACGACTACTCGCGTTACACCACGGTGTTCCCCTTGCGCAGCAAGGGTGACGTCACTGAGGTGTTGATCGACTAGATCCGCGCAGCTCGTCTCCAGCTCAGAGAGAGTTTCGGCTCGGACTTTCCTGATCTGCGTCTGCACTCTGACAGAGGCGCGGAGTTTTCCTCTGCCCTTCTGGGAGCCTTCTGTCGTGCACAGGGCATCCGCCAGACGTTCACGCTTCTGGCCTCTCCACAGCAAAATGGGATTGCTGAGCGCCGCATTGGCATGGTCATGGACGTCGCTCGTACGTCCATGATCCATGCGGCTGCTCTCCATTTTCTGTGGCCGTTTGCGGTTCGGTACGCAGCGCATCAGATCAACCTTCAGCCCCGGGTCTCCTTGCCGGAGACCTCCCCCACCTTGCGGCGGACGGGGAAGGTTGGCGATGCGTCTCCGTTTCGTGTCTGGGGATTTCGGGCGTTTGTCCGCGAATTGTCTGCGGACAACCTGTCCCCCCGTGCTATTCCCTGCGTCTTCCTTGGCTTCCCCCCTGACGTGTCTGGTTGGCAGTTTTACCACCTCACCTCGTGCCGTGTTCTGTCCTCCCAGGACGTCACCTTTGACGAGTCGGTTCCTTACTACCGTCTCTTCCCCTACCGCATTGCGCCCCTCCCCCCGCCGCCGCTCTTCCTTGCGCCAGGTCCCCCCCCGGTAGACCCTCTCCCCCCTCAGGGTCCTGCCCCGTCAGGTGTGTCCTAGGTAGACGCAGACGAGCCTGTCGAGGTAGCTGTTGACTCTGGTGCTGATAGGGGTGCTGAGCCTTGGGGTGCTGAGTCTGGGGGTGCTGAGCCTGGGGGTGCTGAGCCTGGGGGTGCTGAGCCTGGGGGTGCGGAGCCTGGGGGTGCTGAGCCTCGAGGTGCTGAGCTTGGGGGTGCGGAGCGTGGGGGTGCAGAGCCTGGGGGTGCTGGGCCTGGGGGTGCTGAGCCTGGGGGTGCGGAGCCTGGGGGTGCCGAGCCTGGGGGTGCAGAGCCTAGGGGTACTGGGTCTGCTCGTGTGGCCTCTGGCGTTGCTGGGTCTGGGGGTCCTTCGGGTGCTTCGTCTCGGCGGGAGCTACACTCTCCATAGGAGCTGTGCGAGTGGTTTGCCCGGCGCTGGAGCCGTGCTGCTGGAGCTGGAGGTGCTACTGTTGCTGCTGACCCTAG